GTAATTTTACTAAATTTTATTTTTTGTACTTTTGTTGTATTGGTATTGATGAAGTTAATAAAAATAATTTATATATAGGACCAAAGGGAGTACATTTTAAATATTTCCTTTATTAAATATATATATATATATATATAGACATATTTTTTGATTTTATACTTTCTTTAGCCAACATTTAATTAGAAATAAAAAACTTAGAATAAAAATTTAATAACAAAAAAAATTATTTTATCTCTATTTTATAAATAAGTCCAGAAAAATATATATCCACACATAGATATAGTAGTAGATTCTTCCTCTTTGGGTTTTTCCCCAAAAATAAATAATATTGTTTATAGATAGAGTTAAGAATACGAGAGAGCTTGGCCCTTTGGGCTTTGAAGCCCAATTTCCTACACTTTAATAGTATCTTAAGGCTAAAACTTATTAAAAGGGTTCTCGGCCTTAAAAGCTTGGTTTTGAAAAAAATAAAAAATGTGAATGTTGTTCTTTTAAAAAATAATTTAATTCAACATTATAATATTTAACATTATAATTTAACTTAAAATAAATCAAGGTCTTGCATCATCTAGAAAATAAATAAAAGATTTAAAAACTTAAATACATGTTATTTGATGTAATCATAATTCACAACAAAGTTTTAAAAACAAAATATATGAGATATATCGATATAATTCTCATAAAATAAGATCAGGGATCAAAGTTTTCAAGTTAACTTAAAATCTTAAAAGCAAGCATCAAATTAAAATCTCAAACATCTATTACCTAAAAAAAAGTTAATGTTAGAAGATGAATTAGTTGAGATTAAGAGAGCTAAAAAGTTAAAGCAATAGAACGCTAAGAGGGAAACAACAAGTCAAGAGATGATGAGTCGAAAGGCGAGAGGGAGAGGTGAGTCGAGAGATGGAGAGAGCCAGAAGGCTAACAGAGGGATGAGAGGGAGAGACAAGACAGTTAGAGAAAAGGAGAGAGTGAAAGGGAGAGATTGAGTCAAGCGACAAAGAGAGTTAGAGAACATTAAATGATCTAATGCTTAGGGTTTTTTCTCATCATCAACATATATTTACAAATCTTGTAGAAAGCCATTGATTGGTGAAAATCTCTTTCATTCTATTGGTCAAATAATTTTAATTAAATTTTAATTCTCCACACCTATTAGTTCATTATTTCAAGAAAGCACTCCATCTGTCTTAGTTTCTCCATTGATCTCTATGTCTCTTTCCAATGTAACTTCACATCTCTTAAAACCTCCAATCTCCGTCTTCAAGAAATAATGGGTCTCTCCCGACGGCTCAATTCAAAGCAAGAAACAAAGCGAGAGAGAGACAGCAAATATATCTTTCTTCTTCTTTGCACGGTAGAACCGTAGCAAGAGCCAACTCTCTTCTAAACATCTATTTATTTCCATCTCAATTTTAACTTTTTCAAGACAGTCTTCATTCCCTTCGCATTTTACAATAACTTTTTAGTTTCTTTCTTTTTATTAGGTTATTTTCTTCATTCTCATATTTCATATTTGTTCTCCTTGCATGTTCTTGCCATCGCTTTCTCCTTTTATTCAGTCATTCTAATGAAAAAGTGCACTTCTTCCAATGTGATATTAAACTTGAGAATAATAGAAGAAGAGGGTGTGTAGAAATTAATATAGGCATGTAGAAATCTAGACGAGTAAAGAAGAAGAGGGTGCGACACTCCTCCACAACCATCTCGAATGACAGCAGAGATCTCAACTCTGACCTACTGCCGCAGGTAATCTATTTTTCTTTTCCTTCCCTTTTTTTGGATCTATGTTCCCCTTTTTCAGCCCAGCTATTTCCCTGTAAATGTGAAATGTTGTTGTAATTTCAATTCTTCCTCATGTTTAATTACGTCTTTATGATGATCTTTTGTTATCAAAAGATAATTTTGATAAATTATAATTAGGTTTGTATTCTTTAATTAAATTTGGATTCAGACCTCATAATTTTGCTTCTAAATAACTAATTTTGAAGAGAGAATGCTTATTTTTCAAGAGGAGGATGATAATGAAAACAAGGAGGATGAAAGATGAGGAAGAACACAAGCAAAAAGAAGGTATTTTGTAGATTGTAAGGATCTTTATCGTGGTTCTAGGTACCACTGATCTTGTAAGATGCCTGATAATAACTTCATAGAATGTTGAATCCCAATTATTGTCATCCTTCTTTCTTTGGTGGAATGGTAAAAATTGTAATTTTGAGATTTAAACGCATGGTTTTTCTTTTGTAACATTGGCAAATGTTTCAATTTTAAACCTTTATTCTTGATCATACTCATCTTCCTTTTTTTAGAGATAGAGTATTATAACATGAAGATTTAAGAATGATAGGGTGAATTGTTGTTTATATGTAGATCTATTCAACTAATGACAAAGTGAAGTGTTTTTCCATTTTGTTTGATTTTAGATTTAAGAATGACAAGGTGAAGTGTTGTTTTTAGATTTGATTATATCATGGAGATTTAAGATTGGCAAGAAATTTTAACCTACTTTTGAGGATCTGAACTGCAGAACTATTTCATCTACATCCTTAAGGATGTTTTGAAGCTGATTATTTTAAAGTCTATGTTTTGTAGCACTTGATGCACATATCTGAATTGAAAAGATGTGAAGATAGAGAGTATTTGAATTTAAGCATCAACCATAATTACCATTTGTCTCCTGTTACAGGTAATTTATCAACTGATGTTTTTGAAGGGCATAGAATTCCTTACCCTAATCTAATTGTAACATTCGACAATACAAGTCTTGATAGAAATGGCCAAGATTCAATCCAAGATATGCTAAAACTGCTTACAAGGATAAAGAAGCTATGAGATTTGTTTTAGAATCTAATGCTGTAAAGCCATTTGCTAACTCTGTTCTAGATTTTTTAGACACTAGAAGGACCGAGGATGTGTATATCTCTCGCTACTTGATCATTAAAGAATAATACACTTGGCAGCATTGTTATGTGTGAAATCTAGAAAAGCCAAAATTACATGTACTAATATGGTGACAATTTTGGCATATTTCAGTCTGTAAGTTCTCTTTCTATTTTATTTGTTGAGTATTAAATATGTATATCTTGTACAATTATTTTGGGCCATGAATTAGCACAATATTAAAGGATGGAATCTTATGTTATTACTTGGGGATATATTAGTTTCTTACTTTTTCAGTGTTGACAGAGGAGAATCTTTAAAGGTGTCTTGCGATTTTTGAGTCTTGGTATTCTATTTTGTTTTGTTTTAATAGAGTGCCAATGGAATGGACTTGAGTATATAAGAAAGTTTGTTGTATCTCTTGATGAGCATATTTGTTGTTACTTGTACTAAATGATAGAACATTATCTTGCACCCCATTACCACAAAATTAAATAAAAATGTATTGATTTGTAGAACTTTTTCATATTCTTGATAGGTGTTTATCTATATGACTTGGCTATATCTATATTATCACTTACAATTTTCTTATATCAAACCCTAGTAATTTACAAAGATTAATTCTCTTATTTTTAAGTTATTAGACATATAATTATATACAATTTCAATGAAAAAACATTTGTTATAATTTTTCTAACAATACGCTATAAACATGAAATCAAATTAAGAAATATAATTATGTTGTATATATTTCAAATATAAAAAAAGTATATAATTCACATTTTCTGTATCATTTTTTTTTTCAAAAAATGCAAGGATACTTATTCAAAAGTTTTCACGCTTTAATCATGTATGATGAAATTATAAAAAAATTGATCTTTTCAAATTCTATTTGTAATTTACCATAGACTCGAGAAACAAAGATAAATTATGTATGAACAAAATGTTTAAAAAGAAGGAAAATGATTAAATCGAAGAATTTTTAAAAATTTAATAATCTTATGTGTTGATATTAATAGTATTTAAGGTATTTGTTTCAAATTTTTTAAATTCAATCCGTGCAACGCATGGAAATCGTCTAGTTTACCAAATACTGCGTTTTAAGGTAGAAGGGAAAAAATAGAATAAGGTTTGAAGAGCTATCCAAGCCAAGCTTTTTTTTGCAGAGCTTATCAAGGCAAGGTCCAAAATCTTGATTACCTTAAAAATCTTATATTTTTTAAGTCCAAACTTTTATTTAAATAGAGCTTTCAATTTTGATTCTTATTTTTAACTTTATGAATGAGCGTGTGGACAAGACCATAGCTTAATAACAGTGAAGTTATTGATAAATTTTTTTAAAAAAATAAGTTAAAAATATCGATTCAAATTATTACAAATTCATAAGTTTTAATTATAAATAAGTATCTAAGTATCAAAATATAACTCTTAAATTATAACATAAATGTCTGTTTGTATATATCTGAATTAATATTTATAATTTATTTTATAATAATTTTTATCAAAGATTTAATTACCATTGATTCATTCCTTTGCAATTTTTTTTAATACAAAGATACAAAAAATTTGTGTAAAAAGCGAAGAAAATTAAGTCATCTCAAATTTTATAGGAAATGCAAATCAATGACAATAGCTTGCCAAACCAGCTACAGAAAAAAGCCTTATTTACTACAACCCACAAATAATGATACAAATAGCTTCCATGCAAAATCAACACAACATAGGCCAAACGGAAAAAATAATAATTCTGGATAACATCAGTTGAACCTAATCGAATAAAATCCTCCAAGTGCTCACTAATTGTTGGGCTGTGTTTCATCCAAAAGAAAATTAATTTTTCGTACAGAAAAACGTCAACTTCACACAAATCAAATTAAAAATTGCCAGCCTTGCTTAAGGTGGCTATGATGATTGCTAGCCATGAACAATGATGAACTTGGGCAAGAATAATTGTTGTTTATTTGATCAAAAATGTATTCGGACTTTATGAACTTTGAAGTTACATTTTTGATTGATTCAAACGAATGTCAAAATAAAGCATTTGCGCACGTGGAATTAGAACAAGTTGGGGATTAGCCGATTGGGGATGAGATTGACACTGAAACAAAGCTGTGACTTTGTGTGACCGAATAGTTTGTGTGTTGAGTGCAAGATTTGGGCAAATTCCTCGAATGCCCTCCTAGGGGCGGCTTCGCAGTTCGCATTGCTGTCTCTAGCTTGTCTTCTCTTGCCGCTTCTGCCTGAACGTCAACCTCTCTTTCACTCGTTTTCGAGCTGTTTCGTATCTGCCGTTGGCTGCCGCCACTTTTTTTCGACGTTGAACTACACTGCGTTGGACATGGACGCTGCAGATCCTTCTCGAGCTTTCGTCAAAGACGTTAAGCGCATTATCGTCAAGGTTAGCTGCATTACCTTCCACTACTCTCTCCAAAATCTTCTTCTTCTTCTTCTTGTGCTTTCTATGTTGCACGAGATATGGCGTCTTTTCCAATTGAGTGCCGCTTTGCTAGTTTACTGCCCAAGTGTGAAGCAGTTGCATTGAATCTGTTAGTCCCCTGTGATGGTTTTGTTGTAGTTTTTTAAAACCGATTAAGTGATAGTGCTAACAATTGCCAATTCAGAGTTGTACATGCCTGAATTCTTTTACTGTTTTGTTAATACCTTTTGACGAATGATTGTAGCCCGAGTGATTGAAGTTTCTAAAGCTGATGTGATGGATGATGTCCTATAGTTATGGCTGGGTGGTTCTTTGATACAAATACTAATGTTGCTCGGTTAATTGTTCAAGGTTGGGACTGCTGTTGTGACCCGTAAAGATGGAAGATTAGCAGTCGGAAAATTGGGGACGCTTTGTGAGCAGGTAACTCAGAAATGGTGTTACCCATATTTACTTTTCATATCAATGTCTGGCTTGTTATGGATTGTCACGGACCTTTCAATTTGGCATGTATAATTGTTCATTGAATTTTGAAACTAATGTAGATTAAGGAGCTTAACTCTCTAGGATATGAAGTTATTTTGGTGTCCTCGGGTGCGGTTGGACTTGGTCGCCAAAGGCTTAGATACAGGAAATTAATTAACAGCAGGTTAGACATTATTCCTGAGTACATCCTTCAACACTGTTAAGTTTTAGAAATTTGGGAGATGGTTATTTCTTCCATTCATAGTGAACTTAAATAATTAATTTGCTTGTTTATTTCATATATTTTTGTAGCTTTGCTGATCTACAAAAGCCACAAGTTGAACTTGATGGCAAAGCATGCGCAGCAGTTGGACAAAACAGTCTAATGGCCATATATGATGCTTTGTTCACTCAGGTAATTGGCACTAATTAATGTCATTTGTGTCCAATTGCCCTGGCACATATGCCTGTACTTAATAACATGTTTCCGTCTCAGGCTTCTTTTGTTTTTACTTTTCCTCTCTTTGATGGTTTTCACATGGCTATTCCATTATCTGCTTGTAACCTGATTTTAGTGCAGTAGATGTTTGATGTTACTCTTTTCTCTTCCTGCCCTGCAGCTCGATGTGACATCAGCTCAGCTTCTGGTGACAGACAATGATTTTAGAGATAGAGATTTCAGAAAGCAACTTACTGAAACTTTAAAATCTTTGTTAGCACTAAAAGTCATACCCATATTCAATGAGAATGATGCAGTCAGTACTAGGAAAGCTCCATATGAGGTTTGTTGCTTTACTTGTTGTTAGCCAAAATAGATAAACAAAGTTCTTGAGCTTAATATTGTATAGCTTTTCAGTTTTTCCCCTGCATTTTGTATAAAACTTCTGCCTCTGAATTTCATGGCATTCATTGCAGGTGATATGTTCAAGGCTAGAGCTGCTTAGGTGCTACTCTTTGAGATTTACATTGTATAGGATTTTATTTGCTTAAAATTGATAGGATAAGGGCTGGGGCAAGCTCATCCTGTGATCAGCTTTAGCTTGAGCTAATAAAAAATCAAGAGCAGAATCATTTTCCCTTTTCTTTAATAAATTTTCTTAATTTTATGTTTAAGCTTAAGGTTGATGCTGTATTCAAGGTCTTATCTAGATTATTTTAGGATTAGTCAAACTTTAGTCAAAATTATGTCAACAAGCCTGCCTAAATACATATGATAGAATTTGACTTTCTGTTTCCTCTACAGTCAATGCCTAATTCTCCCGTTATATGATCAACTTACCCTGCAATTGTTCAAACTGCTTGGTTAAACTTTTATTCTATTGGGGGTGTTTCTAGGTTTTCGTTCAATATTTTAATATGTTAGAATTAAGTCAATACGGATAAAGGTCATAAAACTTAATAAACTTGTAGGATAGCCTTTTCCCCGTCATTTTCCTTAGGTTCTTAATGTTATTAGTTTGAAAGGTGCAAATCCTTCATTTGAATCTTATTTGAACATGTGTTTTCAGTTTTGAAAGTTGTGTTTGGAATTTGCCTTCTGGAATGATTAGTTAATGCTTCCCATTATTAATTATATAATTTATACAAGTATTTCTAAACCTTACATTCTGCAGGATTCTTCTGGTATATTTTGGGACAATGACAGTTTATCAGCTTTATTGGCCTTGGAATTGAAAGCTGATCTTCTTGTTCTGTTGAGTGATGTAGAGGGTCTTTATAGTGGCCCTCCAAGTGACCCACGGTCAAGGCTTATTCATACATACATCAAGGAAAGGCATCAGAATGAAATTACCTTCGGAGATAAGTCTAGGGTGGGAAGAGGCGGAATGACTGCCAAAGTAAAGGCTGCTGTAAATGCAGCTGAAGCTGGAATTCCTGTTGTTATTACCAGGTATGCTTTTACATTATTTCGTGTGGTTCACCAAGGAAGACTAAAAGTGAATATAGCCTTTGTTATGTCTTTTTCAAAGTTATAATTTTTGAAGGAATTTTTTCCCTCTTCCTGTTTTTGATGGAAGGAGTTTTGCCCTGTTCCCTCAATCCCATTTTCTAAGTTATGTTAGAAGTGAGAGGCAATGACTTGTGAATATCGTAAAGTCCTTTTTCATTTTTCTGTTTCGTTCTCCTATAGCCTATCTTTCCTCCTCTTTGTATATCTTCTTGTCTACCACACAATTAGTTAGTGAATGTTCACTTCCATTTCAGTGAGTACGTGTATGTATGTGCATATGTGTATAATGTATATATGTATATATTTCCCAATAAAATAAATATAACATTCTGTCTTTCTGATACCAATAAGGCTCTGAAATCCTGTGTATGCTACCTGCACTATCTGTTCTTAATCTTTGCAAATAGGATTTCACTTCTTCACGTCTGTTTTCTCTAGTGGTTATGCACCTGAAAATATCATTAAAGTCCTTCATGGTCAATGTATTGGAACTCTCTTCCATAAAGATGCTCATAAGTGGGTCCCAGTAAAGGAGGTATCAGCACGTGACATGGCAGTTGCAGCTCGGGACTGCTCTAGACGACTTCAGGTTCTCTCTCCCTATATTCACACTTGCAAAATGTGTGGCGGATCATAAATATTTCTGAGCACTTAGTGAACAGATCCTAGTTCAACAAGCTAATATCCAAATTCTATAGGCTTTATCCAAAGAAGAGAGGAAGCAAGTGTTGCTAAATATAGCTGATGCACTGGAAGCAAATGAAAAGGAGATAAGGATTGAAAATGAGGCTGACGTCGCTGATGCACAGCAAGCAAATCTTGATAAATCCTTGGTTGCTAGGCTGCTTCTAAAGCCTGGGAAGGCAAGACAATCTACCATTTTAAGAACTTGCTTAAACTTTAACTTAACGTATGTATAGTTTAAATTTGAACTCACGGCAGAAACTTTAATGGTATACTTTATTAACTGACAGATTGCAGGCCTTGCAAAGAACATCAGAACTCTTGCAAACATGGAAGATCCAATTGGTCGAGTATTAAAGCGGACAGAGGTAAGGAAAGTTGATTATTGCATCCAAGTAGGACCATAAACTTTTCATCTTATAGTAATAACAATCCAGATAGCTGACTCCACCTAGTGCAATAAAACTTGTTGTTGTTGTAGTAATAACATATTTTGATTTTACATCGATAAATATTTTATCTTGCTGCTAAGCTAGAAGTACATGTCACGTGTCTTATGTTATCTATGATTTCGTGTAAGTAAATTGTCCAAAGCTTGCTAGTATAATTACTGCTTGGTAGTAATATGTCTATTATAGTGTTTGCAATTTAATTTTCTGGGAAACATGTGGTCAATTACCTCGGACTATTTTCATTAAGTAATTTGGCAAGCCTACTATGGTCATCACCTAAAATGACATTTAGCAATTGCTAGAAAAGGAAAGGCTTTCACCAAATTTACTATGGTAATTATTGATTTGTGATAGTTCTGATGGCCACCCCTATACCCAGGTTGCAGAGGGGCTAATTCTGGAGAAAACATCATCTCCTTTAGGTGTTCTCTTGATTGTTTTTGAGTCCCGCCCCGATGCCCTAGTACAGGTATGTTATACATTTTCATCTTTTTCTTTCTTTGCTGTTCTCTCCTGTCTGTTTACATCTGCTCAATTATGCCCTAAAGGATAGAGCCATCTTGTTATCTGCTATTTCAGCATGCACTGTATGTAACTTAAGTAGTCTGGAACATTAAGAGTGTCTGGCCATCAACATACACACGATTACTAAGACATTTTTCTTCATAGCCCTTTTATTTATCTTGAAATTTGGCATCATTCAAGATCAAGAGATTGGAACTATTTCTATCATCTCTTAATTATTGCTGTCCTTGTCAAACAGCAAGTACAGAGGAAGATCTATATAAAGATTAACAAATGAATATGTGCACTCAAATTAGCCTGGTGATATAATTAACAAGAATATGTTAAATGAGATTGACATGTTTCCTACCAGTAGAAGTGTAAGGCCAAGACACCTTGCCCTCCTTCCCCTGGAACATGCATGCAAAAATGTCATCTTTTGTAGTATTGACCTAATGAACTAAAGCAGTGGATTTTATAACTCCTTTTATAATATTTCTGCTGGCTGCCAGCTTTAAAGTTTTAATTTTTCAAAGACAACTTTCTGTCCATAATGTATAATATTAATGAAATACTAAGCCATTACATTTCTTATAGTTTCCATGTTACTATTTTGTATCGCATATTTCAACTAGTTTCAGTATGCATATTACAAATATCACACCCTTCCACATTTTTAGATCAACATCTCAGTTGACAACAATAAGTTTATTTTTTTTTTTCCTCCAGAACATTGTTATCAATATCAGTCTGCCTTCCAGTGTTGATTTTATATATAGCTTTGTAGATATCAAGTTTTATTGTTAACTGCCTTGTTTTGAAGTGCATCGATTTTTAATGGTTATGCGTGGAAAACCTGTGAAAGTGGATTGGTCATCTTATTCTCATGTTCACACATCCTGCCATCTTATTCGTTAAATCATTGGAAAATCACAGATAAGGACCTGGTTAGGCTGAAAATTACGGTTCAGGACTATGAAATGGCCAGATTACATTTAAGGACCATCCTTATCTGCAATTAGAAAAATTTGCCTCTGACAAAAATACCACTGAGAACAAAGGAATTGGGTTAGAAATTTCTTAATACTAGGTTGGAAAGTAACTCTAGTTGACTTGGAAGCTATTCAACTTCCAGACTTGGAGTTTGGTCCAAGCGTACCAATTTTTTTTTTTTTTAAGTTTTCATAATGCTGCTGCTGAGAATATTAGAGTTGGATTGGAAATTTCTTAATACATGGCTGGGAAATAACTCTATTTGACTTGGAAATCTTCTTACGTTAACGAGAGGATATTTTAGTCATGAGCTAATTTTTTAAATTATACAGAAAGATCATGGTCCTTAAATGTAATTTGACTATTTCATGGTCCTAATTTGTAATTATCACCCTTAGAAGGTTCTTATTTGTGATTTTCCCTTAATCATTTAAAGCTATTTTTTTTTAAGGAAAAAAATTTCTCATTTTTGCTTCCATCTGATTGCTTTTATTGTTACACCTTTCCCAGTTGGCAGTCTAGATGATATCATGGTATGTCCAAGAAAATTCAATATAAACTATGAATTAAGCTTCTGATTTTCCTGAAAATAATGACATAAATTTATTCTTATTTTTATTTTTTCTCATTAACTTCATTTTTAAAAATGATTAGGCTGAATCTTTGAATTGAATTTTTAATAGATATTCTAAATCAGTGGCTTCATTTGTTCTGCACAGATAGCTTCCTTGGCAATTCGAAGTGGGAATGGGCTTCTCTTAAAGGGAGGCAAGGAGGCTAAGCGATCAAATGCAATTTTGCACAAAGTTTGGTTTCAAACGAAATAATAATTCTAAATTATTTTCTTTTATTCTGTTCAGATGTCCGGTTTGGCAGACTTGTTAATAATTTTTTTAGCATAATAATTCCTATGAAATTGCAGGTAATTACTGAAGCCATCCCCAAAACTGTTGGTGGAAAACTTATTGGACTCGTGACCTCAAGAGCGGAGATCCCTGAGCTGCTTAAGGTGAGTAGTCCTTGTGATGAGCTTCATGCAAGTTTATAAAACGGTTAACTTCAAATATCATAACCTTAAGCCAAAGTTGAACTCTGCATTTTATCTTCCAGCTTGATGATGTGATTGATCTGGTTATTCCACGAGGCAGCAACAAACTTGTCTCTAGCATTAAAAGTTCCACTAAAATTCCTGTTCTGGGTCATGCTGGTAAGACCATTATGCTTATGATTGAATGTTGCATTCAAGCAGTGCTTGGGATGCTATGTTAGATCCTTTTCTTCAGGAATTTAGTTGTCTGTCTTAGTAAGGCTGCATTTTCTTTAACCCAGATGGAATTTGCCACGTCTATGTTGATAAGTCTGCCAATATGGAAATGGCTAGGCGGATTGTATTGGATGCAAAAGTGGATTATCCAGCTGGTTGCAATGCCATGGTAATCCATACTACTGGATGACAATGCAATCTTAGTAATACTAACTACTTTTCTTTTTAGTGATCACAATCATGTATAACTATTTCCCTTACTCAAAATTCAAATTTTAGGAAACACTTCTTATTCACAAGGACTTAGCAAAGAAAGGTTTGCTCCATGATATTATTGTTGACCTACGGACTGAAGGTATGGGTTTTGGGTAAAGTACCTTAAATTATATGTTCTCTAAGCAGCTGATTTCTTTGTATGCTTCTCTAATTTGTAATTATCTCTACTGGTTATGTTTAGATTTTATTTAGTTAGATAAAGGTCTTTCCTTGTCCATGTGATTTCACCCAGAACTTGAGTTATGTTACACAGTTTTTGTAACAAGCTTTATAGCTTTAATAGGGAAACTGGGAAACTCTAGTAATAGCCAATGTATCTTGTAACATTGACGCTTTTCCAGCACCAAAGTAGAATTCTTGCTGTAATTAAATGCTTAATCTTTAATACTTTGTGCAAATTTAAGCAATTATTCTGATTTATGGCTGTGAGATGATTGCAAATTTGAATTATTATCTTTGAATTGAAAAGGTTGGGGATTTGTGTTATCAGATATATCAATTTGGTGTAGTTTTCTTTATTTTTGGAAGAAAGTTGCTGAGGATATTTGTGGGTAAGCAGCATGATACTGGTTTTGTACTTCAAGCATGTAATCTACATAAGGAAGCATTTCTGAACTAGACATGTGATATATATATATATGATTTAACTACATGATTCTTCCCCAATATAACTGTTGTCTTCTTGACTTTTGTTCAAGCTAGTCATGTTAGAAAATAAAAATTGATGAAGCTTGGAAATTATGTTCAAGTTCCATATCCTAGGGTCATTTGAGATAAGCTCAAAGTTGTGCAAAGATGCAAGGCCTTGATCAAAGTCATTTTGAAAACAACTAGTACTGTGTAAAAGTCTTTAGGAGAAGTATTCTCTTTTTGGATGATAGTATCAGTTTCTATTCCCAGAAAGGGGAAAAAAAAGAAAAACTAAGGAAAAGCACATTTGGATGCCTACTCTATTTAACAATCTGCAGTTTGTTTCTTTGCTATTTAGGTCACAAATATCTCTTAAAGGAGCAATCATGTTGGATTACAGCATTTGATACTTCTAATGATTATTATCTGAATTGGGCTGAAATCCCAGGTCTTTAAATGGCAATATAGGAGCTTGAAAAAATTGATTTAACCTGAAGTTTATATTGCAATTGGAAAAATTGGCTCTAGGTTTCATCCTTATTAACTTTTTGACAACATTTTGCTTAGGAGATATTGGCATAGGTGATTGTTGTCTTCTAGTGAAATGAATGTGTACATGGAATATTAAGGAAACGTGTGTGCTTATAAAAGGTTTGCATTGCGGAAAGACTAAGCAACGTAAAATATATGCAGGTGTTACTTTATATGGAGGACCCAAGGCAAGCTCAATGTTGAATATTCCAAAGGCGCATTCATTTCATCATGAGTACAGTTCATTGGCGTGCACTGTTGAAATTGTGGATGATGTGCATTCAGCTATTGATCATATAAATCTTTATGGAAGGCATGTCACTGTTCTGTTTTTGACAAGAAGCATGTTGAAACTCTGTTGCTTTCATTTGTTTTCTTCCCCCTGCTCTGTTCAATTCAAATAACATCCGTAATGGTGCAATGAATTTATAAGGAAATATTAAACATTTTCTTCTTTTCCGTGGGCAGTGCACATACTGATTGCATAATTGCTGAGGACTGCGAAGTTGCTGAAGTGTTTCTACGCCAAGTAGACAGGTATTTCTATACATTTCCTGTGTTTGTTTTCCTGAGAAAGAAGTGCAAGGAAGAAATTATTTCACATAATCAAATGGTTTACAGCATTTCATTATGAGCACATGGTCTTAAGCAGTTACACATTAGTAAACAAGCCTTTCTTTTGCTCTATTATGCGCAACACAAGACATCAGTACACTCTGCAAAGTTAGTAATGTGTACATTGTTTGCTATATGCTGGCAGTGCTGCTGTTTTCCACAATGCTAGCACAAGATTTTGTGATGGGGCACGATTTGGACTGGGTGCAGAGGTATGATGTTCTTCACATTTTGATGATTAATCTATTATGTTAAGGTTGTAAACTAGTTTAATGCTCTTAATGGCTTGATAGGTTGGAATAAGTACAAGCAGGATTCATGCTCGGGGTCCCGTAGGAGTTGAAGGATTGTTAACAACCAGATGGTATCTACTGGTTTTCATATGCACTAGAAACTCTTTCTTTCTTAACAAGCAATCAGCAAATCTGATGGTTCTCTTATTTAGATGGTAGACCTCAATAATAATAATAATAATCACAATTACATGAAGTATAACAAGCAATTAGCCAAAATGTAGATAAGCTTGTAGACTTTATAACTGATACTGCTGTCCATTAATCATTAATCCTGTTCATATGCTTATTCCCCCCAAATCAAATGGTGTGCATATATTAAATGTGAATGAAGTTCGTAAAATGCTATTGGTCATTTTAAGTGTCATTATCAAAGTTCATCGATAAAATATGAATGAGTTGTATCAAAGACCATTTTAACTTGCCACTGCATGAATAATGACAATAGTCAAATATAACAGAATGATCTATAAGAAATATATTTCATTAGCTTATCCAACTACAGTTCTAATCCATGCAACACACCATTTCCATCTTGGGTTTCATGCTGAGGCGTAATATTATGGTAGATTCATTTTATAATTCCATGAAGGCACATGTGGTATCATCTACGTATTCCACCTTTTTCTGCCATATTCATGTGCAGGGTACTTAGAGGAAGTGGACAAGTGGTTGACGGTGATAGAGTTTGTTACACCCACAAGGACCTTACCACTTGATCCTGTGTTTTGCAAGTAAAGGCACGCTCTTCATCAACAAGGAAGGGCAAGGGGATTGGTCTGAGCTTTATTTTCTGTATCTCGAGATCTGGGCAAATAGGCAAAATGTGTGTTATTATTCCCTGTCGCTTTTCAGTATTTTTCTAAAATGGTGCACTTGACAACGGCTTCCTTCTTCAACACGGCCATCGTATATGTATGATCTAGGAAATAATTATAATATAATATTTATGATTTCTGTCTTGCTTGCTAATAGTACATGCATCATCTTTAGTTCATAAAAGGAGAGAATAGCCTCACTACAGCTTCTTGATTGGTAGCAATGGTTTCAGATTTGTGATGTGCCTGGTGGCTTCTGCCCTAAATATATGCTTGATATCAATTGAATATCCAATGGAATGAAAAGATCAATTTAGATGATTATAAATTCAAGAGTTTCAGCACTTTTTTTTTAAAAAAATATATTAGAGATCTAATTATCATTAATTTAATCTTTTAGAATTTAATTGTCATTCCTCCAATGTTCAAATACACATTCAGCCTTAAAGCACCATCAACTCATGCCCTAAAAACCGTAAATCCATAGCTTGTCTCGGAGGAGGACATCAATCTTAGCATGCAGAGGATGCCATAGAGGTTAAGAGGACGCTGATTTGAAGGCTGAGCGCAGCACATTGTGATAATTGTTCGCAATAAGTTCATACAGAGATGATTTATTGGAGAACATTGAAGGAAAGTAGAGTTTTAAGGAGGGAAACTAACAAAAAAATTTATTTAAATTATGTAAATGATTGATTAATTTTACAAAATGGTATAATTTCTTTAAAGTCTCATGTAATTTTTCTGTCATTAGGAAATTAAAAGAAATAATTAAATTATCCTTAAATAAAACAAAAATTTCAAACCTCAATGTAGAGATATTCTTGCACATTCTTGCCTTTGCTTTGGTTTCTTGTTCTCCTCTTCTTCATGCTCTTCTTCTAGTCCATCTGCTTCTCCTTCTCATTTGCCTTCACCTCCACTTTAATTTCTTTCAGGTGTTAAATCCATATCCACTTACTTCCCTCCCTTTTCTTCCTCTGCTTTCTCGTACTATGGTTTAGGAATTCCATTATTAGGCTATCACTAGATTGTGTGCTTATAGTCATGGCAATCTATTCAAGTTTAAATTGATCTTTTGAAATTGGTATGGTTGATAGTTAATATTAGGATTTTAGCCGCAATTCCTTTCTCTCTTTCTTTTTGACACTATGACGACCTTACTGTTAACATATCGTTTTTGTTGCTTTTTTAATTTATCATTGTGCTGTTAAAAATGAGACTAAAAAATGACTTTTTGAAATCGAAAAAATTAATACAGTATTAAAATTGTTTTTCCCCAACACAGTGATAAGCAAAGCCTTTGTTGTTGTATTTTTGTTATTTTCTCTTCATGATTGAGATTTTCATTTTCTCTGCTGTATGTGGTTATGAATGCTTACTCATAAATAAATAATATATCATTTTTAATTATGTTGTAAATGTATGAACCAAAGTTGTAAATGACTAATACAAAGTTATGAATATTAAAAAATAATTGTTTTTGGATAAAAGATATGTGATTATGATGTTTGAGAAATAGACATGTTGATGAATGATTATTTTATTATTTCAAATTGGTATAAGAAATGACTTTTTTTGCTTCTAGTTTTGAAAAAGAACTATTTTATTATTTTCATAAAGGGGAACATTTTGTATAAAATATTGAAGGTAAAATACAATATGATGGGAGAGTGTGAGGATAAAAATGATAAGAGAAGATATAATACTAGAAGATTAAACCCTTCATATATTTTTGTCAAAAGGATTTTAGAATATTTTGATGCAAATTATAGATCATACAACTAACAACAAAATCTTAGATAGTTGTTACTTTTTAAAATTTTTTTGTCATTTAAATTAATAAAAATTGTTATTTTTTGGATTAGAGTAATAATTTATTTTTGCTGATTTAATCAATTTACAGAAGATGTTGATAAATTATAATTCTTTATTACATTATTATGAATATAAGAACAAAAGTTATTATTATAAAAATAAAAATTGTGAATGAAAAGTTACGAATTTTTAACACTCAATGCATATCAAGACCTGCGTATGCAGAGTTGTGAATTACTATTAAATTGTTACAAATTTAAAAATAAAAGTTGTTAATATAAGAACAAAAATTGTGAACGAAAAGTTACGAATTTTCAACACCTGATGTATATCAGAATCTGCATATACAAAATTATAAATGATCATTGAATTGCTGTGAATTTAAAAACAAAATTTGTTAATACAAAAACAAAAATTATGAATGAAAAGTTATAAATTTTCAACACCTGACTTGCATATACAAAATTATGAATAACTATTAAATTATTGCAAATTTAAAAATAAAAGTTATTAATATAAGAACAAAAATTATAAATGAAAAATTATAAATTTATTTAATTTAAATAAAGAGCAAAAGTGTCATTTCTTTTAATTCCTTAATGACAGAAACATTTCATGAAACTCCAAAAAAATTATACCATTTCACGAGCCTAATATGTCATTTATATAATTTAAATAAATTTTTCAATCATTTTTCCTTTTAGGTATCAATGCAATTTTTTTCCCCCATCAATGCGACGGTACCAGGGTTAAAACAATCTTTTTCCTTCAAAGACCTGATTGAGAACTGTCGAAAATTAAAATAGTAATTCATTCGCAAAAAAATATTTTATATATATATATATATATATTACCAACGCAAAAAATATTATATATAAAGAATTTTAAGGGGGACAATAATCATGGTCAAGTAGTCGGGCCTTATGCCCTCAGCTTGTACAATGGCTTAATGGACGGTTTTACTAAAGCACTCCTCTGGGGAAGCAAGAACTATGGAACAAAAATATTATAAAAAAATGATGTTATTAGAATAAAAAGTAATAATAGGAAATCTAAAATCTTCCCCTCCAAACTTGTTTATTAAAAATGTAGCAGTATAGCTCACACTTCCATCAAATAACGACTCTAGTTTAAGCTTCAATAAACTTCTTGAGCTTTTTCATCCACACCAAGTATTCTCTGCTATCCTTGTTGATCATGTACTCGTGCAGGAACTGAGTTGTTCTAGGTTTGATTCCTCTTATTTCTAAATACTTATGGAAGGCCTTTTGCAGGTTCTCATCCAAATCTCTGGGAAATAAATAAGTGAAAGATGTTTGTACGAATTAGAATGAAAAGAACACATTTATCGAAAAAAGAAGAAGAAGAAGAATGAAAAGAACACAACATTGAATTGGAAAATTAAAGGTCTAAGCTGAGAGATGAAGGAACAAGGCCTTACTGGAAATCTGGACCCTCGTAAGGAATTTGATCCTCAGCGTTTTCTGGATTCTTCACTGTCAAGCTGTCAATCGTGATCTCATCAGGGTAAGCAAAACAAGCGAACTCTAGAACGGGTCCATCCTTCTTAGAGACACTGACCACGAGAGGAACACTAGATTGATTGGCCCTTTCACTTTCATTATCATCATCATCACGACCATCCTCGTTTTCCCCAGTAACTAGATCAGGCATGTGAACTTCAACTTTTATATCTTCACCTTGGTATGTTCTTTTGAGTGTTATAATCTGCTGTCCAGGATTATCAATAATTTCAAAGGGAAAATCACTTGGCGCGTCTTCAACCTGTCTCACAAGGGGAAATTAATGAGGGTTGTAACCGAGCAATCCATTTAAAACGCAATATTGCACAGCGGATAAATATTGATTCTCAATAAATTATATCAAAGTATATCACAGGCACTTCCACAAGGACAGAAATTAATGCCCATTGAACTGGAATGAATAAAAGCATATTAGACGAATACTCTATGAACTAAAAGGGGAAACAAGTTATAGAGAAGCCAACAACCCTTTTTGGCCGAAGAAAACAAAGGAAAATGATCGATCTGATTGCTTGCGAAGGGAACATAAAATAGAACCCACATCAATCCTTGAACATATAGGCTAATGCAGCCGACTTTCACCGATTGTATCACTAAAGTTTGATTCTGCATCACATCTAGGGAGCACTAAGAAAAGGCCTGAAGAAGCCCAACTTTACTAAAGCCTTATTCAATCACTCACCCGCCTAGAGGAGAAAAAACAAATAAATCGTTGTTAATAAGAATGAAATCCTCGAGTGAATTTTGTTTGTCTGAGCAGCTCATTTGCAAACATATCATTCTATTCGTGTTGGGTATTAAAATCCCTTCATTCCTCGATTATCTTACCAGTTGACAATGAGCCAATCAGCAAGACAATGCTAAGACCAAAAAAAAAAAAGAACACACATACCCTGTCGTGGTCGTCAGTATCCTCGGCGCAACGGATTTCAGATTCGATGGCACGAAGCAAGGTCTCATCAGAAGGAAACTTCTTCAATGGCGCAGAAGAGAACTGAGAACAAGGGAGGAACAAGGGATTGCGAGAGGAAGGGAGGTGATTGGTGATGGGCGGGGAGAGCAGAGCACGGTAACTACGGTGGGGCTTAAGCAGATGAGCCGCAACTGCGAGAGGCCTAAGCGAAGAGGCTGACTTGCGAAGCACAGAGAAGAACGCCATTTCCAGCTTCTAGCCCTCTGCACCTGAGAGACGCCCCAAGGGTTTTACTAGGGTTTAGAATTACATCACATGGGGGTAAAATACAATTTCAACAATTCTTTTGATTTTGTTTTTTTTTTTTAAACTATCCCCTGAGAGTTAATTATATATTTATTTATAAAAATGAAGTTTATAAAAGTTTGTTTAACAAGTTCAAGGATAAGAGTTGTAGGAAAGCTATAAATTATAATATACTCCAATAATCATCACTTATTATTAATTACAATTACAATTTTTTTCTTTCTTCACAGACTTGTCAGGCTGGATGCAACTATTATTTATTCATTCAATGTTTTATTAAACATATTTCAGTAGGGTTTAAATGAAGAAAAACTTTTCAAAAACTAATTATCTATTTGAGGAAAAAAATGTAGCTTTAAAATAAAAATATAAGAATGATTATAATGAAAGTGAATGTAATTGTAGATCAATTTCATTAGGTTGGGAAACAGATTCACTTGCAATCCATGTGCCTATTTTTTTCTGAAAGAAAAACCACCAAAAGCTACAGTTTTGATATATCGTAAGTGCTAAGTAATATAAACCAAAACCAGTGAAAGTATCCTCCTCCGTCCACTCTGAAGCAGATCCTCTCTAAATCTCATCCCTGCAAGGTGCTCCTTTTAAACCCCTCCCTCCTTTTTCGTCATCCCACTTCCATCTTTAGATTAGATAAGGAATACTCAGAATCTCAAGCTAATTTAAATTTTTACTGTGTGACATTGTTATTATCAATAGTGGTTTCATATGTTTTTTGGGATATGTTTATCATATTTATTTAACGTAATTTCATATCTTAAGATTTAAACTTGAAATTATAAGATAAGTTAATTTAACTCATTCAATTAATTGAATTAAGTGCCCTTCAATAAAAATAAACAAATAATTTTAAGCTGGTAAAATTTAATTTGCACAATTTATACCTGTAATAAAACAAATAAATAAAAAAATTTAATGGAATGAGAACATTGCTAAACAAAGTACATAAAAAAAAAAAAAGGAAAAAACAGAGCAGCCTAATCTCTTTCATCATCTTCCATTCCAAAATTCGGACATGGATGATGATCAAACAGGTTTATTTTATTCAACTATTATTTATTCATTTTAAATCTGAAAACTTTATTTTAGTATTTAAGAGTGGAGATGAGATGAGAAGAAAAGGAGAAAGAAGATTTGCAGAGGACCATCTAAAACAAGTTTTCACCCTTTCAAAGGAATCTGCGGCATCAAAGCTCTGTTTTCCTTGCCTATAGTAACTTGGAAACCACTGCAAATAATATCCCATAATACATTTTTCAGACTAATCAAACGTCTAAATGGTTATATTTTTTTTTATGATTGTTGGTTTTCCAATCGCCAAGATAATAATATCCCTAGCTGTGTTGTGGAAGACAGATTGCGCCAGAACTCAGAACTAGCTCATGTTAGATGCAGAGACGGATAAGAGTTAAGAAAAAGACAGTGAAAGGAAATGTACCCAGAAAGCACCAAGATGCATCCAAAACATCCTTCTTACACAAAAAACTGAGACCTCTGTTTCGTATGCTGTTGTTTTGTTGCCAAAGTTCACATAGAGAATGCATTAATTTATCGGCCAGCTTCCTAAACGTCCACCTTGTCTTCAGGTTTAAATTAATGGGCTTTCCACCACATTCCTACCTAGCTTTCCCTTTCGTAAGAGTCACACAGAGAAAATGTATCAAGATTCCAGAGAAAATGGATTCAACTGTGTCATTTGTATTATCAAATTAGCTATGTATGTACTATCAAATGATTCTCATTACACCTAACATCTTCAAACGATCTCACTAATTTAATGTCACCGGAAGAATCTTGCTTTAAAATATTGTACAAGGCTCATGCTAATCTAAGAATGTGACGTTGGAAATAATAGAGACAATGACCAATCTTACAAGTTACAACCAAATTTTGGACCAGCATAATGTGATGAACATGACACGAGAGGCCTACTCGGCCCCAACATATGCAAGATTTCCTCCTAAGTTTCATAGCCATGCCTCGTCAATCATCTTGCCAAGCAAAAAGAGAGGAAAGAAAATTCACAGCATTCAGAAATTATTTTTATTTGCAATGATACATATAATACATGTCTCTGCATTGAAAAAGAGAATTAAATAAGCAAATGAACCCGCCATGAGCACTCGATATGCTGAGTTTCTAAAAGGGCTTTATGTGCGAACAATTTCTTTCTTGATCACGTATCGTCGTCAGTAATAGTACTGCTATAAAGTCTATACGATGACATAGCACTTCCATCTTGAACTGTTTCCAGAAGAATCTGAACCCACCAAAACCGTGATTAAAGAATAAATGAATTAAAACCACTATAAATATAGAGGAAGTAAAATTGACTGCTCAAGGGACATAATTATAAAGGAACTTATTAAAGATTACACAAATTTTGGACAGATGAGCAAATTTTGGACCTTTACAAAGACACCTTTCAACATTGTAATGGCACCGCTCTTTCTAGACGAAACTGACTTGTACACTGTAGGGAAAGAGAAAGGAAATGGAATTAAAGAGAAAGAAAAACGACATATACCAACCAACACAATTCAGACTACCTCCTAACCACATGCTACTTATTTGAACATGGTTTCACATGACTATCTCTGGCTTCAAAATGCTCGACTTGATCTCCTTGTGGGGCAGAACCACACCACCGTTGCTGTATATTTCATCACACACATGGACATCTTCTCCGAGAATAGTCATGTTCTCCACGCGAGCCCATTGCCCTACAGTGGAATGCCACCCAATGATACTGCTGGATATGCAAGCATGTTTCTTAATCCGGACGCCTCGCATCACAGTGCAGCGGGAGAGACGAACACCAGACTCAACTATGCAGCCAGGACCAATAGCAACGTCAGGTCCAATAAGACATCCTTCACCAATTTTGGCAGTCTCATCAACTATGACATTCCCGACAATGTGATGGCCAGTGGCTAACTTGGAAGATGATTTTTTCTTCAATGAGTCTAGGTAGAGTCTCAGACCAGTAATATAGTCCCTTGGCTGTCCGATGTCCATCCAAAACCCAGGAAGGACCATAGCAAATAACTTCTGCTCTGCTGCAATCTTTGGAAACACCTCCTTCTCAATAGATGTGGGCCTTAGCTCAATGCGATCCAGAACTGAGGGGTTCAGTAGGTAAATTCCAGCATTGATTTTGTTACCAACAAATAACTTGGGCTTTTCCACAAATTTCTCAACCTTCCCTGTGGTCTCCTCCATGACAACAACACCATACTTCGATGGCTCATCAACCTGCACAAGTAGATGGAAAAATGATATTGAATGCTCTAAACAGCTATTAAAGTCTTACATAGTTTGCAGTCAATTCAGTATTGTCACCTTTGTCACCATTATGGATGCCTCCCCTCCATGGGATTTATGGAATTCAACCATCTCCTTAAGTGGGTACTCACTAATAACATCACTATTGAGAACAAAAAATGGCTCTCCAGAGCCATCTATCAGCTTGTCCCTAGCAAGCGCCAGAGGTCCTGCTGTACCAAGTGGTTCAGTTTCTTGCGAACATGTGATCTTGATGCCTAGCTTTGCCTCAAATTCCTTCAAGAAGTTCAACATAACCTGCCATAGGGAGTAACTTCAGCCACGTAATTCTCTTTAATTATTGACTAAATAATGTAGCAAGGATATTTTGATCTTTACCTCTGGTTGGTAATTGATGGCTAATACCACTTCAGTAACTCCAATAGATTTAAGAGCCTCTATCTGAAAAATAAGTAAAATAAAAAATGAGAATTAGTAGGAACTTCTTTTTTCCACTTACAGATAGACATAAAAGTTTCCAAAATATAGACAAACAGGACTCTAAAGGGGTGAGGGTGAACAAAATTCACAGAAGAGGCTGTCATTACTGCATCTAGTGAGATTTGAATACCTTCTCCACAAAGCTCAAGCAAATAAGCACATTCCTTACTCTTTAAGGGGGAACAAGGAAAAGGGAGGCTCTATCCACCAAAATTAGATTAACGCCGGAAGAAGACAGGTATCAAAAAAAAAGTTGATCAAATTGAATTTAGAGATTCAATAGTTTGGCATATTAGAATGTCGTAACTAATTCAACCCATCATATTTGGTCAATTTTTGAACCAGACAGATCCATTTTCAAAAATGTAACAGATCCATAATATACAGAAGATAAATATATCAGATGTTGCATTAAAATGTCATCAACAAAGCACATATCAACTTTGCTAGTTTAGCACAAGAGAAATAGGACTTCTAGGAAAGAGGCTTCAGAAAACCAACCTGGTGCAGGATCATGGGTTTGTTGGCAAAATCAACAAGAGGCTTGGGGACACTGAGTGTCAATGGCCTCAGTCTTGTGCCAAAGCCTCCAACAAGAATCAGTGCCTTCATTGTGATATTCCTCTTGTCTGTAAATTATAAAATTAATAGCAGATCAATAAACGCTAACAGAGAACCAATTTCAATACATAGCAGATTGATTCCACTGTGTCCTCTAAATAGTGGCTGGAAAGGAAAGAAGCATTGCTACGGAAGTTAAACCTGAGCTGACAGGTGTTATGATGACTATGACACAGACGCAGCTAAAGCTGGAAACCTAAAGCTGGAAGAAAAATCAATCTGCCAAAACAGTCTGAAACGTAAGCACCCACAAATTAATGCTCAACTTCAGCTAAGCAACCAAAATAGCCGGCTTTGTGTCATCAAAAAACTATAAAGCTGCAAAGGAAAGTGAAAAAAAAAAAGATCATGCAAAAGCTAGCTGGATAAGTAAATGAAGACAAGATCCACCGACAAGCCAGCTAAGTTTTTGATGAGAATGACAAAAATGGTTTGATTCTGGGGCAAATTACCCTATAAATGACATTATATCTAAACTGGAATCAATGTAAAAGGGTTCCAGATATGATGATTCTCTCAGATTAGAGTGTACTGCTCATTAATTAAGGGCATAAGAATTCAATCACCCTAAGCATATGAGATGCGTAGCACCACAAGAAAGCTGGAAAAGGACAATACAATCACTCTAAATTCATGGAATTGTTGAAAAATATAAACAAAACAAAAGAAAGCAGGTGAGATGAATTCATAAGAACAGACAATGATGACATTACAATCGCATGAAGTTGCCTCTTTTTTCCTCCCTGACCAAAGAAAACTGTATTAATGTAGACAAAAGACTGCTTCTTCATTGATATTGCTCTCTGGAGAAATTTCTAAAGACCGGATACAGAAGGGAGAATGACTGTTGAAAAATCCTCATAGCAACTGGGTTAAAAGGTTCTCTGTTCTCCTCATTACTACATGAAAAACCCTGCAAAACTTTATCTTACAGAATTTAATAACATTTTTCACCTGACAAGAAGGCTGTCCCAAAAATTTGCAGTAGTGGCACCAAACCCAGGGAGGAAAAATGTGACACTACTCAACGGACAACCAATCAAACACAAAAACGACAAACAGGGGAAAAAAGGCAGAGAAATGGAGAGAAATAAGCAAACAGATACACTAGCAACAGATCTGACTAATTAGCACAGATCCCTCCAACTTAATTCACCGTAATTCAAGCATCCAAGGAAGAAAAGTCCAAGCAGGACAGCATTGTGGTTAAATCATCAGATCAAAGAAACAACAGGACAACAGGAACCAAGAATTCAACACACGCTAGAGAAACGTAAATGAAATGAAAATAACGGCAAGCGCATTGTCAGATTCACCTTAATCCGACAAGAAATTGCAAATCCTGATTACCTTTGATCAGATCCCTTGCCGAAGCTCAATCCGATCAGAGAGTATCTGTTAATCCTCAATCTTGAGGGAGACGACGATGTAAATCTGGCACCCCCAACGGAATGGTCGTCAGGGGTCTGAGCTGTTACAATGGCGTTGGTCGAACCAAAAGATTTCGTGTCATCCTTTTATATACGCGCCAATCATCTGTAATCTCTAAGCCTGTAACTTGCACCTGACTTTTTTACTCCTTAAAATTCATAATAAGTAAAACAATAAACAATATTCGGTTTGTAGAAAAACAATAAACAATATTCAGGCAAAAAATACAATAAATAATATGCGTCAAAAATAAGAATAAATAATATTTATCCCCTTGAAATACGAGTATTTGACTAAATCATCGCTGATGAATTATGTTAAGATCTGTTCTTATTATTGATAATGATGATATTGATGTGAGGAGACTTTCCTTAAAGGTCAAAAAATGAAAAGGAGACTTTCCGTACTGTATACATTGCCGTTTTTTTTTTTTAAATCTTTTACCAGTCTACAGGCAAACCTTTTGTATTAGAAAAATTACAATTACAACCTGATTTCCACTTGTGATTCAGAAAATAAATCATTTTTTCTTTCAATTGAATGATTTTACTAACAAAATTAGACAGTCATTTTATCAAAAAAAAAAATTATTTCATGTCTATGATATTGACGGAAATAATGTTTTTAAATAGAAAAATGTTTTTGACAATAAATTATGATTTTATTCAGAGGATTGGACTGGGTATTATGAAATTCAATAATCAATACCCTTTAACAAAGGTATTGAGATCAAACTTTATAAGGAAAAACATATTTTTTTAAAAAAAAAGGTCAATTCCATTTAGCTTATACATGAATTAGTTGGCATTATTAGTATTATTATCCAGTACCACGTGATTTGTGACAAGTGCAAATATATGGTTTTGTTTTTACCAAAAAAATAAAAATAAAAGGATAATAGATAAAGTTTGTTTGGGTGTGAAGTGATGTGGAAGGGTAAGGCGTTGTTTGGGAGGAGAGTGTCGGTGTGGGTTCTGCGTTGTTTCTGAATTTGGCGGATTTCTGAATTGTGCCTTGGACGCAACAACGCACACGTGATTATTGATTGCGCTATTTTTGTTTGCGTATTTATTTAATTAGTTTCTTTGTCAATTATCAGAGTACTTTTGCTACTGGTGGAAATTTCTTGGCAAAACTGAAACAAGCAACCTTAACTTGACAAAACGGGACATCTCTACCCAATAACACAAAATTCATAAAATATTTTTACAAAACTTGAAAGTTGAATTGTTAAATTTATTTAAATGACTGAAATAATAATTTTCATATGATAATTGATAATAGTTATTAGATCATGAACTTTTTTATTGAACAAAAATTGATTTTTATTGTTATTTTTTAAAGCCTCTTCAAAATGATAATATCCCCTTCTTTTGAATTCAATTTTATTTGAGTACGATTGAGTGCTAAATGTGCACAATTCTTTTTATGAATATTCAAAACTTAGTTTGTCCCATTATAAAAGATTAACCCATTTTGTTAAACCTAATTTTATTAATTTTATTTTCATATCATTTTGAAGTGTAACCATGTGAATTCTTTAATGAATTTTTTTGACAAAATATAGAAAGGCGCTAATTACAAGTAAATCTTCCCAAATAATACTTTCTGAAGTTACAGCCAAATTCTTCTAAAAATAATTTTGGCAAAATTAAGAATTTTTTTGACAGAACAAAATTAAACACAATTTTTCGATTATTCCTTTAAAGCATTGTGGATTATCATGGTCAGAAATAATGCGTTAGGGGAAAAAAAAAATGAGATGTGCTATGAAAATAAGAAGAAAGAGAGTAAGAAGAGAAGAATTGAAAGAAGAAATAAAGAAGTATATTTTATTTATTTAGATGCCTAATATTTTGTACATGGTGTCTATTTATAAATATTCAATCATTAAAGCCTAACCTTAATGTTGCAAATAAATAAAAAAAGATATCATAATATAGCATGCAATCTTTAGAGGTTATAAGGCATTAACATTGAAAAGCCTTTCCTAAGTCATTCATTAAAAGTTTAGGGAATATGAAGAATTGTAAGCATTATGAGTTATGGGTGCATTCACTCATATAATTATATAATATTTATAATAAAATCACAAGACACGTTACTATTTCGTAGTAATTAATTATTATAGTGGGATAGTGGTTTGTGACCCAGAGTAGCATATTCCATGTAGATTCTTTATCCCTTTCTCAACTTTTTTTAAAAGGAAGTGCAAAATCTGTATTGAATATTGAATATTTGTTGAATGTCTTTGTCTTTGCATAAATAATTAAGAAAAAATTAATCCATAGGTGCTTGTAATTTTTCTCTGTTGGAATTATGAATCCACCCTTAATCGAATTATTATGTGGAAGCAATCAATAGATCTCACATTATTCTAGTAACAATGAGTTGATCAAAATTGAAAATTAATGCGAGATTAGATTTTGATTAAATTTTAAAATAAAAACTATTCCTCTGCAATAATAATTATTCCAATCAGTTTATTTTTTCATAATGAAATGGATTAATACTGATTATATTTTCTTTTTATGCAGTTGTCTCCCCTCATTGTAAATAGACGTGGATGGCTAAAAGAAAAATTCATCTTAGAGCCAACACTTCTTTCACAATGCTTGTTCTTTTTCTTTTTCTCTTTCTATCTTCAATGCATCTATTGTGTATTTTAACTTAGACTCTAGTTCTCTAAACCCATATAGATAGTTGAGTAAATTCTACTACGTCTTGATCTGGTAAAACTCTGACCTGATTTCTTTATTCAATATATTATTCCTGTTTAATATTCATTCATTCTCAATTTTGAATTAGGTCTTCATAATTTATTTTATTTTAATCAAGCCTTTATAGTTTGATTATTTAAAAATGCTAATCCCTAAAAGTTAAAATTATTAATGAATGATTAACTTTCCCAAAACAAAAATACTTTTAAAATTTATAAAAAAATTGATTTAATACTTTTGGTGAAAAAGAAGAAAATTGAGTTAATATAATGTTTACATTTTTTTATAAAAAATTTATATGTATAAAAATTATTTTGAAAACATAATCTGATTGTTTAAATTTTGCGTTATAAAAATTATATAATCTTTTAATAAACATATAAAAGTTCCTAATTTAATTTTTTAAAAATGAAAAATTCAGGGATTTTAATCTCTAAGGATAACGTATTTAATCAATCAAAATAAAAATATTTGATTAAAATAAAATAAAGTATAGAAACTTTATTTAAAATTGAATAAAACTATAAAGATTGGAACTACAATTAATAATTGAACGACAACGAATGGCGTGGTACGCAAAATATTATTAATGTCATAGTTGTATATATGTGGTATCAAATCTCGGAATTAATAAAGTAATTAAATAATTGTGAGTGAATTGTGAAAGTTGTGTGTGAACTCATTCACAACGATGCACATCATACGGACACACATTTTACTTTGACAATACAAAATCCACAAAGGGCAGTATCATTAATTCATGCATGACTTCAAGTCCACAAAGACACCATATATTTATTCAAACATATGATAAAATATAATAAAAAGAGACTTGAAATGATTTCAATCTTTTACAGTATTAACTACTACGTTACATCTTATAATACGTAATAATGATGTTATAATAGTCGTTGTTGATTATCCAAGGCTAGGTAATCATGGGTTAAGCATTTATAATGATGTTGTATAAGTTGGTCGATTAAAATCTGAGTTAGAAGTAGGGAAGAAGGATTTGAAATCACATAAAGGCAGAGAAGGTTGCGTTCAATGCTTAAGTTTAACCCACAGAAATTGAATCCGTGTTGAGATTAATTAGAATATGAAGACTTTTTGTGAGAATAAAGAAAAAGAAAAAGAAAAGTTAATATTTATTTATTTATTTCTTGTTTTCTTTAAATTGCAGTCAAAGGCTTATGCGCCATGGGAACACGATGTTGTGAATGGCCTAACAGTAGGCGTTGACATTTTGATTTCCCCTTTGACCTAATAACAAGTCACATAAAGATCTGGTCATCTTGATCTCAATTATATAATGTATCTTATTTACTGTATATATGACAATGATGATTAAACAGATAGTGATAATTAATCTTTAGGATGAGAATCTTATTAATTAATTTCTGGCCTATTTCTTGATAGAAAATGTGCACATTTTGGCAAATTAGAGCGAATAACGCTATTCATATTTTCATTCATTAATAATTAAATTATAATTTATAATGATAAAAAAGTCTAAGGACATAATTACTTTTAATAAAAGAATACTTTTAAGAAAAAAAAGAGTATGCCGGTGCTTTTGAACAATAGTTCTAATAAAAATGCTGTATGTGTAATTATATACTTTCAGAATTTATTTATAAAATATTTTTAATTAAATTATGTGAATTAACATATGTGGTTAGAATTAATTAAGAATATTTTTAATTTTTTCATAAGAATCTAGAAATACCTTTATTAAAGTTATTAACTTTAAATTTGAAAATAAAATATGCCACCTAAAAGAATCAATTAAATAATGTAGGCATTTTTGGAAATAACTCATCAATTCTTCACCATGTTTTATAAGGTGTCTTATATTAAGAATCCAACAAAAATTCCTGAATATGTTTTATATTAAAAATTAGGTTAATAAACATCCTAAATCCTAAATTATTGCATAAATGGAATTTTAAATTTTAAACTCCTAAAATGCAAAAAAAAAAAACTATCCCCAACTTTTAAATTTTAAACACTTGAAATCTTACCGTTAAATTAGAAAAAATAGCTGTTACTTTTATAGTTATAAGGCCCAATCATATATTGATGTGACACTCATCTTAACCCTTAAAAATAATAATTATTTTTTTCAATTTAATGGTGGAATTTCAAGTGTTTAGAATTTAAAAATTGAGATAAATTTTTACACATTTTAAAAGTTTAAGATTCAAGATACTAGTTATCTAATAATTTAGAGTTTAAGATGCTCTTTAACCCTTAAAAATTATAAGAAGTGGCGGCGCGCTCATTAACCCTTAAAAATTATAGGAAGTATGTGTATAGGAAGCGCGCGA